CCACCTATATCGTAAAATTTTAAATGAACAACTTTACGATAATGCTGATGCATTGGTGGGTGGCCAATGGGTCTTTCGACAAGATAACGACCCTAAGCATACATCTAGGGACATTATGAATGATCTGAATACCCGACTTTCAAGACGTGTTCTTGCCTGGACTTCATATAGCCCAGATCTCAATCCTATTGAGAATATATGGGCTATTTTGAAGCATTATGTTGAGAAACACATTTAAAAAATGATAGCAGAAAAAAAAAGGTTTCGAAAAATAAATTTATCAATATTATTAGGGAGGAATGGGAGGGAATCGAAAAAAACGTCATAGTTAATAGCATCGGTAGCATGCAAAATCGGGTTCAAGCGTGCATCGATGCCGAAGGAGCTCATACAAAGTACTAACACTATAATAAATGTTATAGCCATACTATTTGGCTTTAAGAAAAAAAATTTTTTTTTTAAATTTTTAATAAAGTACATTTTTTATTCATAAAAAATTACGCGCCATTACTTTCGCCGGGGACTGTAATAACAAGAAAAATAAAAATAAAAATAATGCCAACAAAGAAAATCAAAGCCTAAACTTGCCTTTTAGCAGTAGTAATATCTTATTCAAGTCCGAAATTGGTCTCCAAACCAAGAAACTAATAAAAATTAAACAAACAAAAGAAATCAATTTTTTTCGTGTTTTTTTTTTGGCTTGATTTTCCGATTTGTCACTTTTTCCAACAGGTCAGTATCAACCAGATATTCTAAGTTCAATCAGAGATTGTTAAAGCTGAACCAAAAAAAAAAAAACGTTAAGCATGCATTCAAAGGAAAACAACATTCCTTCTAAAAATATTAGCAAATGGTGTCGTCCTTCAAAGAATTCACATCATAACTTGGTTTCTGCCTGATACTGGAGAAACCAGAAAAATCTATCGCCATTATGTGCAAAAAATTATTTGTATAGTTCACCTTTTTTATAACGGATCATTGGGATTAGAAAAATATTGTTATAGAGAGAATCGGCATTAGTAGTAATTACACTTTCTGTGACATATCGTTCGACTATAGAAAATGATTAATCATTACATGTTGAAGTTATGTGCAATTTTAATATTAACGAAAACATAAAAATAAATGTTCATTACTTATAATTACATAAAAAATACTATTCAATGTTAATATTAAAAAAACATTCAATTTAGTTGTATTTTTGAATTAAATGACTTTAAGTTGTTGCTAATTCTTTGTTTGTTGGAATCGGAGTTTGTCTGCTTTGCTAAACAAACCTCTCTTTTTACCAAAACAGCCAAAGATATTCTCTTATTTAATGACATTTTAAAAAATAACAAAACAAAATAAATTAACTTAGAACTTGAATTAGGCGTATTTAAATCAAGAAATTCAATTTATATATTTTATTTGTTTTCTATGTACATTAGTACATTACACCATCATTTATTTTATTTTTAGATCACGTGAATCCGTTATAGACTAGTAATAGATGGTTTTTTCAGATGCAATCCGGTATATGTTATATAAATTTAATTAATAATATCCGTTATAGAGAGAGATTTCAAATTTTTGTCCGTTATTATGGAATATCCTATATAGAAAGATCCGTTATTGTTATTATTATAGAGGGAATGGACTGTATTAATGAAACTTGTAATGGCGAAACTAAATCAAAAGGTTGGGCTGATGGAGGTGCTCATTTAATTTATGGACTCAAGAGAAATGTGTTGCTACATAGCTGGAGTTGCGCTCATGACGATAGGTTATTATTAAGGAGTTTTTCTATTACTACATCTTTGACATAAAATTTGTAGTTAACATAATACAATGAGGGTTAATTAACTTTTTAATAGTAAAGAAACAAAAACTTTTAAATTACCTTTAGTTTATATATATAATTAACAAATTAATAATAAAAGGCTCATCCAATTGTTAATGTTTTTCCATGACGGGATCATGAATGTCTGCATGTATCATGTATCGTGAGATCAAATTTCCTGTCCTTTTTTCCGTGTAGGTAAAGTCATGTGTGTATCATTCCACAGTTTTGAAAGCTCCCAAAATTTTTCTTATGAACCAAAATCTATTTAATCAATTTTAATGCTAATTTAAAATGCAAATTATCTATAAATTTTCAAATGATAATAATTATTTCCAAACAAATAGCTACAGTATATCATTAGAGGAATACTCATATATACACTCCCCTACCATAAATATCCAACCACCTGATGATCATTTTAATAATCGGAAATGTTACGCCTTATTATTATTATTATTGTTATTATTATTATGAATCAAACCGGGACTGGTGAATTAAGTAAACATGTTTTTAAAAGTTAATTTGCATATAAAGTAAAGTCTCGTCGAGTTTCATTATTAATGAATTTAAGATGAAATTAGACAAAAAATTCTGTGATTTTTATGAAAACTTTGAGCCTAGTAAAAACATTCAAAACTCCGTTGAATCATGGATTACGTCATTAAGTAAGTCCACTTAAAATATCTTGAATTATATATGGTTAAAATTTGAGAAAATTTGATCAGTATAAACAACAAAACGTAAAGCCTTAAAATTTGCATTTTGTGAACTTTATTAAGTGTTTTATATAATAAAATTACGGGAGTGGTCGGATACTTTTTTAAACCCTTTTCACGAATTATTTATGCAACGCCATATTGTAGATATATGTAATCTGTTATGTTGAGCACATTTTATTAATGAAATAATATACATTACAATGAAGAAATTTGACCTTTATTACATGTAAAGATTCCGATTGAAAATTTGCTTTTTTGGACTATTTGCTAAATGTTTCCATTAATACCATACCGAACCTTTTGTAATTTAGAGATTTTGATATCAAGTACAAGTCTACTTAGTAAAGTAAAAACGGTTTTATTTAAAAAAACGTTACTTTTTTGGTCGGATACTTATGGTAGATGTGTATATAATAAATTCAGCATTAAAATAAATTATTAATTTACCTTTAAATTTAGTCTCCCAATTTATATAATTAATATTAACTATATAATAATAAACAACTCTTCCCAATTGTTAATGATTTCATTCATAAAATAGCAAATGAAAACAAATTTTTGATTTGTAAAAAAAAAAAACTTTAATATTTTTTTTTATTTGTATTAGATCCTCACAACAATTATTGCAATTTTTTCTCCAATCTAAAAAATTGTAATAAAATATTTATTAAGAAATTTTTAAGTTCTCTTGAGAAATCTCAAGTTTGTATATTTATCCAATCAGAATCTAGAATTTTATTATAAAAATAACAGGCTGATTTGAATTAATTGAATTAAGGTAGTAATAAAAAACAATTATTTTTTTAAATTTTTAATCTCAGCCAATAATGTTTGCAACATCTGTTCATTATTATGATTTAATTTGTTTTCAATTCCCTTGAGATCATTTTTAAGATTTTCATGATTCATTTTGTTTTCCTTGAGGAGATCATTTTTAAGATTTTCAATTTTCTTTTCTGGCTTGGGCACATCTGCCAATTTTCTAAGTTCCTCAGAGATAAATGGAAGAAATTCTGGATCTTCTTGACTACTATCAATTTCTCTGATTCTTCTTCGAATATCTTCAACTGGCACATCATAAGATCTATCAAGTTATCAAATTAAATTATTTATCAAAAAAAAAAATAAAAAAAATAAACATAATTACAATAAATCAGGAAACCATTTTCTCCAACGACGTTGATTAGGAAGTAAATAAAATAATTCAATCTCTTTTATGATTTTTGCCTTTTGAGCCAAAAATGCTTCATCTATATTATATTTTTCAATTTGATTGCTAAGAAGACCAATGAATAAATTCATTAAATATATCACAACAACAAATGAAAATGCAATAAATAATATTGCCAGATATGGTTCATCTTGTAACTGCCAAGATACAAATGCTCCACTATCACCTATTAAAAATAATATTAATATTTTAGTGAGCATATTGATTTAAAATCATATTAATATAGAATTTTACCTGTAAGGAAATTATACATTGCCAGCATTGAGGAATGAAAATGTGCAAACATATTTGTATTGCTGTCTGGTTGTTGTATAATAATTGAATTCTGGTTATATGATTTGTCATTTGTAAAATATGTAAAATATTTAGAAGCAAGATTCCAAGGATTATTGGGATCATTATCTTTGAAATCAGGACTGTCCAGTGTATAATCCTCCTGAATTGGTTTTAATAAAATGAAAAATGCATGTGAAAAGCTTAAAATGATTATAAATAATATTATTAAAAATGAGAAAACATTTCTAGCAACTCCCAAAATGATTGCAAAATATCTTCCAAAGTATGTAAATGCTCTTAAAAACAAAATAAATTTCAGATCCAATAACAAATTTGATACTGAAACCAACTCAATAGCTGGTGAACTATCATAATACAACCATAAAATTGAAGTGATGACTGGTAAGAAATATGCTCCAATGTCTATTAAATAAATCATAATCATTATTAAATTATCAATTTTAATTAATTAATTAGCTAATAATAATAATAATAATAATAATAATAATAATGCCATACCCAAATAATTCCAGAATCCAGTGACATATTTCCCCTGGTCCCAAATAAATTGTCTCACTTCAAAATTAAGATGAAACAACCCAAGGATAATTGTAATAATTAATAATGAATTTCTATTTTCATCAGATAATTGATTTGGTGAAGTAGAGGTTGCAATTGCAAAGCATAATAAAAATGTTGCATAAAAGATCCAAATCCCCAAGTAATATTTGAATCCAAAATTATTCCACTTGAAACCCAAAATTACCTTTCCATTCTGATGTTTATACAATTCTAAAGTATCTAATTCAATAAATTTGCTGTTTGCTGGCTTATACAATAGTTCTTGCCAAAATGAATACTTATTGTTGTAAGTAATCCAGGGTATGGAATGATCAATTTTACACCTGGTTTTTTGGATTTGTTTAATTTTTTATTTATAAATTTTCTAATATAATTATGTTTATAATAAAATTCCCAAAAGCTATTATAAACTGATCCTTTAATATCTATAGCAATGTAAAAAGTTTCCCAATTGTAAGAATGTCTCACAAATGGAAATAATATCATTGAAGTCTGACTAAAGAATTTTGATATTAAATTATGATGATTTTTTTCTAATCTTGGTAATTCTAATATAATTATTTTTAATAAACTAATATTTAAATCAGTATTTTTTATAAAATGACCAAGACAAGAATCAAATACTTTTTCTACTAGAATACTGTTATTACCACCTAATGCTGTCTTTAACATTTCTTTTCCAAATTTGTTGAAATAATGAAACTCATTGAGCATACTATCTAACATTTCTCTAAAAGGCTGTCTAGAAATCTGATGCTTATCAATATATAAATGATCCATATAATAAAAGCATATTTTGAAATCAAATAAATAATCTTTAACCTTCTCAATATCTGATTTAATGTGCTTTATTTTGGAATTCTTGTTGCTAAATGATAAAATGTAGATGTAATTGTTTGACAATAAAATTAAATCATCATTATTTAATAATTTACAATACATAAAATTTTCATCACTTTCAAGACCACATTCATCAATCGAGCATAGTGGACATTTGATTTCATTGGCTAAACTATGTGACGATCTCCCTTCCAGATATCACGCAAAAATTAAATTTTATTGGTTTGAAGATCGTTATGCAAATTTGAAAAACCAATATTAATATCGGAGGGAAGGAAATTTAGTTCCAAATTGATAAAAATAAAATGTTTATAA